CCTGATCAGAAAATACATGGCTCTTCCTTCCTCTCAAGTAGAGGGGTGAGGGACTACTGGTGGAGAGTGAGTTTTGTGAGATGGTTTTACTTGTTTTTATTGTTTCATTTTCAGTCTTGTCTGACTCTTTGGGACCCCATTTGGGATTTTCTTGGCAAGGATACTGGAGTGGTTTGCCATTTCCTTCTCCAGCTCATTTGACAGATGGGGAAACTGAGGCAAACAGGGTGAAGTGACTTGTCCAGAGTCACCCAGCTAGGAAGTATCTGAGCCAGCTTTGAACTCTCCAGAGCCATTGCTCCATCCACTGTACTACCTAACTGTCCCTGGTTTTATTTAGCTATCTTTAATTGTTATGGGTAAGGTGGGGAAAGATGTGTATATCAGGAAGTGAATGAGGAGTAAATCATCAAGGCATCAATAACACTTTAAAAGGATATTCACATCATATCTGTGAACACACACACACACACACACACACACACACACACACACACACACCCCAGGCTGGAAGTTCCCTGGGAGAATGACCTGTCTCATCATCATTGAATATCCTCTGAGGTTGGGCGCCATCTCCCCCATTAAACTAGGGGAGTCCTTAAAGAGCACCCTCTCTAGAGGAAAGATACACTACAAAGTTCAGTGAAAAGAGCACAGGAGAAATCTGGAGTCTGAGGACCAGGGTCCAAATCACAGGTGACCCTGAGCAAGTCATTTACATTCTCTGAGCCTCAGTTTCCTCCACTGCAAAATGAAGGGGTTGGACTCAGTGACCTCAAAGGTCCTTCTAGCCCTGGATCTAAACTCCCTTGGATGTTAAGGCTCCACCCCCAGAGGGCCTGGGGAGTTCCAACAGTGTAGGCCAGCCAGAGCATCCATGGAGGCCAGTGGCACAAGCAGCCAGTCTGATGCTGGGCCCCACCCCAGTGTGGGCTGGGAGATGGCCTCACACCATTAACTCCCCTCTGAGGGGCTGCTTGTTCTGTGATGAGACTCCTGGGGGTGGGAGCACACACAGTACTCTGAGCAATATTACAGTCATAGAGTTGGGAGAGATCAGCTGGTCCAACCCACTCACCCGGTTCATTGGATGACTAGGCAAGGGGAATAATGACAATCTGACTTCTCTGCACATACCTGGGCTGCCCTATCACATGGTGGGGGTGGGGAGGCTCCAAGGACAGCACCTGAGGCTCCCCCATCATACCAGGGGCTCCCTAAGGGCCCCAAATGGATCAGGGGTTGCTGTGTCACCCTGCATCAGACTGAGGACTCCTTCATCTCCTCCACCAGACCGGGGCCTCCCTGAGGAAGGGGCTGCGTATGTCCCATCAGTGAGAGAAGTCTTCCAACGGTAAGACTCTTGCATTTGCATACTTTCACAAAGTTTTATCACTGGATCCTCACAACACCCCCAGACATAGGCAGGGCAGGTATTATCACTGCCATCTGACAGGTGAAGAAACTGAGACCCAAAGATGCCTGGCCTCTGAGGACCCTTTTGCTGTTCCTCTTCTCTGTCCTAATGAGGACTTGCCGATGACAGTCTGGGAACGGACCTAAATTTTCCATTAGGAAGTGGATAATCTAGGTGACAGATAGTTTGAACTCAAATATTTGAGGCAAGAAAGAGATTTAAGAACATAAGACAAGGCAGAATTAAATCAAGGTAGAAGTGAGAGGTAGGGCTGTCTAGAATCCAACAGGAAATAGAGAGAGGAGTTGGTAGTGAAAAAACGTAGGAGAAGAAGGAGTCATTTCAGTTGTTGGGAGTGCAGGCCCTGGGGTCCAAGCACAAAGCAATGGAGGTCAACTCCCCTCATTTTATGGCTGAAGGAACTGAGATCCAGAAAGATTGAGTGAATGCCTAGGCACCTATAGAGTTCTGGACCTGGAGTACGAGTTCACATTTTCCCTCAGATATTTACTAGCTGTGCGACCCTAGGAAAGTCATCTGTCTGCCTCAGTGTCTGCATCTGTAAAATGGGGAAAATAATAGCACCTACCTCCCAGGTTGTTGTGAGGATCGATCATTTGTTAAATACTTATCATGTGCAAGGCACTGTGCAAAGAGCCAGGAATACAAAGAAAGGCAAAAACATGGTCCCTGCCCTCAAGGATCTCGAATTGTAATGGAGGAGGTCACATGCGACTCACTAGGTCCATGGAACAGATATGCAGTTACAGTGTAACAGGTAGATAGTAATAGTGTAACAGAGTCACAGCCTAGCAAATATACAGTTACATATAACATATACAGTTAGAATGTAACATATGTAGCTGCAGAGTGCTATAAACAGTTACAATGTAACACATATAGTTACAGTGTGACATATATACAGAGGTCAGCCTGCCTCCGAGCCAGACTGAATCTGACTCATTGTCATGGCCACAGCCAGCCCAGGTCATCTCAGAGGCAAATCGCCAGTGTCTGGGGAGACTGGGAAAGACTTCTTACAGAAGGTGGGCTTTGAACTGATTCTGGAAGGAATCTAGGTGAACTCAGAAGAGGAAGTGAAGAGGAAGAGCATTCTAGGCATAGAGGACAAGGAAAAGGCATGGAGACCAGATATGGAGAATCACAGATGGAGTGTCAAGAAAGCCAAAGTCCCTGGATCACAGCATCTGGAAAGCTGAGGAGGGGCAGGTTATGAAAGGATTTAAAAGCCAAACATAGAATTTCCTATTTGACCCTGAAGGTAATAGAGAGCCAGCCGACTTGGCCAGACCTGTACTTCTGGAAGATCACTTTGGCTTCTGAGTAGAGGATGGATTGGGGCCAAATGAGATAATATACGCAAAGTACTTTACAAACCTTAATGGGCTATATAAATGTGAGCCCTCATTATTACTGTTCAAGGTCACACAGGTAGCATAGGGCAAAGCCATAGATGCATATACACGGGCTGTCCCTCCCAGCTGATTGTGAACTCTTTGAGGATGAAGAATGCTTTTTCCTTTCTTAGCACCCCCAGAGCTTAGCAAGGCATGTGGTATATAGTAGGTGTTTAATAAATACTTGTTGACTGAGTGAATGATACTGTGACTATAGAAGTAGTCAGCACCAAAATCTAGATGTCTCCTATTGCAGCCCGTCTGGGATAGAAAAGTGGCTCTGGAGTCAGGAAGACCTGAGTTCAAATCCAGCCTTTAGACACTTAGCTAGCCATGTAAAACTGGGCAAATCATTTAACCTCTATGACCTTAGATTCCTCAACTATAAAATGTTGGGAGGAAAACAGCAGCTACCTTCTGGGATTATTGTGAGGATCAAATGAGAGAATATTTATAAAGCACTTGGCATACAGTAGGCTGTACATAAATTCTTATTTTCTTCCATTCTCCCTTTTGTGCCATTTCATGGAGGGACCCCAAAGAATTTCTGGTCTACCAGCCACCTGGATGGCAGGGGCTGGGTTAACACACCCTACCTCTCCAATTTCAAGCCTGTTTGCACGGTCAAGATTTGATCTCTGCCTCTCAGTCACTGCCACAGCCAGCCCAGGGCAGTCATGGTCTGTCCTCTTTGTTCCTGATTTGGCCCATAAACCCAAATGACTGGGAAAGCACAGAGTTAACTCAATTAGGCCCCTTAACGAAGCCAGCCCTAAAGGGTAATTTCTTTAATGGCCCACCCCCAAAATAGCAGGAGACTTCATTAAATGTGTGGCGTTGCCACAGCAATTATCTAGGTCATCTGAGGATCTGGCCTCGTGATTAGGCGTTGGAGTTCATTAGCCTATTGGCGAGCAGAAGGGAACAAAGAGTGAGGCTGCTGAATGATAATAATCCTGGCAAACCCCCATATTTGCCAGGGGCTGCCAACTTCTTTCAAAACACTTCATGCCCTCCTCTTGCTCCTCCATACATGAGATAGAGGAGGAGACAGAAGGATGCACCAGGAAGAATGCTGGATCAGAGGACCTGGGTTTGAATTCTGAGTCTGCCACTCACTGCTTTGGGTAAGTCCCTTGGGTCTTTGAGCCTCCTATATGAAATGATAGGGGCTGGATTAGATGGTCTCCAAAGTCCTTTCCAGAACTAACTCTACTTATTCCGTGCTCCAAATTTTATAGCTAACAAGAGGCCCAAGGTATTGGAGATCCAGAAACTACACCCCAAATTTTCTGCCTCCTGAGTCTTTCCCTTGGACTGAACTGCCAAAGAGGAGCCATGGGATCTCTCCAAGGCTCCCAAGCCCCCAGGCTGCAGGCCTAGTTCCTTTCCTATAGAGAGAGAGAGGTAGGGCATCCCCGTAGAAAGAACACCCAACTTTACAGTGCACAGACATGGGTCTGAGTCCTGGCCCTGGCACTAACTAGCTAGGAGTCCTTGGACAAGTCATTTGTAGGCAGAGTGATATGATGGGATGCACTCAGGTCTTAGTTATTACACAGGGAGAGCTTGAGGTCAGGAATTAATTGGTTTGTAACAGAGCTGGCAAGAGAGTAAAAACAGCCTTGGGGCAGCCCTCTGCCTTTGATTCCACTGAAGAAGGGAAGAAAGAAAGCTGCAGGGGGGAGGGGAGGAAGTATCAAGGGAGGGAGTGGAAAAGAGTTGAGACTAAACATTTTATAGATATCTTATTTGATAATGAGCCAACAAGCCTGGAAGGTAGATACTATTATTGCCCCCATTTTACAGATTAAGGAAACTGAATCTCAGAGAGGTTCAGTGACCCAGGGTCACATTACTAGAAAGTGCTGGAGGCAGGATTCAAACCCAGGTCCCATATTCTAGCCACAATATCATGCTGTTTTTCCTTGGGGATGAGAGCCCAGATCCATTAAGGGTGGGCCAGTTGGGGACCTTTTCAAGTCTGGGGGGGGACCCTTTGGGACACTCTTTCTTTACCCTGTGCAGCAACTTTCCTGATATCTCCAGATATACTTGTCCCCTGGCCAGGAGAGCCCCAGGTTGGATGGAGTCACACACACACACACACACACACACACACACACACACACAGGCTGGTGCACACATGCAGAGCTCTCTCTTACCTACAGCCGGGAACGGCACAAACCTCTGGATGAGAAGGCGGGTGGCTGGGGTGAACTTGTTTGCTCTTTGAACCAGAGCATTAAGGCCCACCTTGGAAAGAGGAGAGAGTGAAATCAGAGGAGAGAGTCACCACAGCAGGACGTTATGCACCCATTAAGCACCAGAGGAGGTGGAGAGGAAGGCCCTGGGCAAAGAACAGGTCCTTATCTCCTGCCTGATCCCAAGTGCCCAGCTGTGACTCAGCGCCTCTGTTCCCAGGGTGACTTGATGGTCCCATGCCTGCTAGCTCCTGCTCAATGCTCCTGCCACTGGGAAGAATGTACCCCCTGGGAAGAGGCTCAGGGAAATTGGGCATGTACCCTAAAATGCTTTTATTCTTCATTCCTTCCACTGCTATCTACTTAATCAATGAAGTGAGGACCCTGTGTCTCCTCTGGGCCAGGTCTGGTGCTAGGAAATGATTCAGGAAAGACCCAGGGCCTGCTCATAGGCACATGAAGGGGTGGAGAGGGATGAGATCAAATGTTCAAGCCCTGCCCTATCTCATGTACTCTATTTTGCATGTACTTATTTGGGGAAAGGGGAAGGGAATGAGCATTTATAGAGCACCTACTATGTTCCTACTATGGGCTAAGTGCTTTTCATAAATATTATCTCATTTATTTATATAAATATCTTATATTGGACATTTATATATGAAATATTTTATATTTAATATATTTGTGTGTATATGTATGTGTACGTGTGTCCCCTGATCAAATATAAACTCCTTGAGGACAGGGTTTGTTTCATTTTTTTCCTCTTTGTAACCCCAGTGCCTACCACAGTACCTGGCATACACAAAGCACTTAATAAATTCTGATTGATTGATTGAATGACTGGGTATATGATACAGACTATACAGAAAATGGGAAATCAGAAGAGAGAGATATCAGCTTCAGCTAAGGTGAACCAGGAAGTCTCCGTGAACAAGGTGCACTTGAGTTAGGCATTGAAGGATGGATGGTGACAATGATAATGAGTCCAATTCGATTCAATAAATATTTATTAAGTGCCTACTATGTGCCAGGCACTGTGCTAAGGGCTGGGGATATAAAAGGAGGCAAAAAAACAATCCCTGTCCTCAACGAGTTTATAATCTAACAGAGGTGGGGTGGGGGAGAGACCACATGAAAACAAATGTATGCAAAGTAAGTATGTACAGGAGAAACAGGAAATAGTGAAGAGAGGGAAGGCACCAAGGTCTCCCAGCCACAGAATGGCAAGAGCCAAGGTTTGAACATGATTTGAAATGCCCCACACTCTCTACTGCCCACATTCTTTAAGATTTTACAAGGTCCTTGACATTCATTGCCTCCTCTGAGTCTCCCAAGATCCCTGTCAGGCAGGTTCTATGATGATGTCCATTTTTGAAGATGAAATAGGTGAGACTCACAGGGGTTAGGTGATTTGCCCACAGTCACACAGTGACAGAAACAGGACCTGAAACCAGATCTCCTGGATCTCGGTCTATTATGCCATGAATTCTCACAGTAGGCAGAGCACGAAGGGAGAATATTCCAGGCAGAGAGAAGATAAGCAAAGGTGTGGAAGTGGTAATGGATGGGGAGGGAGGCAGGGGACAGGCAGGGAGAGTAGCTCTAACTGCTTTCCTACACAATACATGTCCATCAGGCTAGAACCAGCCCAGCTGTGGTCAGAAAGCCTCATCATCACCAGCTGGGTCTCAGGATCATGTAGTTTTAGCCACAGAGAGGATGTAATCTGCCTTGGTGGAGTGGATGGCCTCACTGGTGAGATCTCAAGTTAAAGCAGAAAAGTTTCTGTCGAGCTTGATGTACACTTCATTTGACTCTCCCAACAACCCTAGGAAGTAAATAATCTAAGTGTCATTGTTAGCATTTTACAGCTGAGGAAATTGGGGCTTAATATGGTGAGGTAACTTGGCAAGGACACACTGCTTGTGAGCACCAGAGCTAGGGTGACTTCTGGCCAGATCTCCTGTCTCGAAGTCCAGGACCCTGTCTATGAGCTGATGACAGCTGCCTGAAGTCTGCTGGGACCAGACTTTGGAGGACACCTACACTCTATGGTCCTTGGAGCTACTCAGTCTAGCACTTAGCTGTCCCCACTGCCAAGAGTCTTGTCTGCTCAACTAGACTGTGTGCCAGGGCCTATCTAGGAGCTTGTCAAATTGGAAGAAGTGTTGAGCCCAGAGATGTGGGTGGGCTGCTGGCCATAGAAGGCCCCTGTCCCTTGTCAGGATTCCCAAAGGTATATCCAGGGGCCACTCTCTCTGGACTCCAGCCCATTCACCACACAGCTACCAATGATTGTCCTAAAGCACAGGCCTGACTATGGCACTCCCCAACTCAATAAACTCCAGTAGCTCCCTATTCCACTGGGATCAACTGTAAGATTCTGAAAGCCTTCCACAAGCTCTCCCATTTCTGCCTTGCCATCCTCTCATACTTTATCCCCTTCATCTAGGCACTGTATGATTCCAGGACAGAAGTGAAGCAAACCCAGACCAGGGATGCCCTCCCCAGCTCCCTTCAAAGCTCAGCTCAAGTGCCCCTTTCTGGACAGTGCCATCTTTAGGGTCTTTCCCAACCCCCACATCAATTTGTATTCACTTAATTTGTTATCGTTGTTGTACTAGCCGGCTCCCCCAGGCTATCCCAATGGGCTGTAAACTCTTGGGCTGCAGGGACCATTTCCTTTTGGTATTTGTAGTCTCTGTGCCTAGCACTGAGCCGCAAACCTTTTGGGGGGGCAGGGGTGTCTCAAGCTGTGACTGCCTCAATGGAAGGAAACCTCCTTCCCTAATCAGTTTGTGAAAACTCCCTCAAACTGATACAGGTCAAAAATGTGGATGCAACTTGTTAAGTCATTGACTCGAATGAAAAGTTCTGGACTGAGTGAACCAGAGGTCCTGGGTTCAGATCCTGACTCTGCCACTTACTATACACCTGTGTGACCTTGGTCAAGTCATCTGACTTCTAGAGTCTCTCTTTCTATAAAACGAAGAAGCTGGGCTAGATGACCCTGAGGGTCCCTTTTAGTTCTAAATCTCTGGGTCCTCTGAATGAATGAGGTTGACAGTGCATAAGGGATATCTCTAATTCCAGCTCTACGAATTACAGCCAGCCCTCCTCCCTCTCCTGGGCCCTCCCTCTTCCTCCCCAACTCCTGGCTGCCTTCAGGACTCATCTCAAATCTCATATTCTACAGGCCTCCCACCACCACCATCACTGCTAGTACTTTCTCTCTGAGATTACCTCTGTGTGTGTATAAACATATATAATTACATATACACACATACTAGGTACAGACAGGGTATTTTTCTATAGATAGATGTCTTGTATGTACCTAATTATTTATGTTGATCCAACTATAGATAGATAGATAGATAGATAGATAGATAGACAGATAGACAGATAGATAGATAGATTTTGTATGGATGAAGTGTCCTCATCCCATCAGAATGTAAGTTCCTTCAAAGCAGGGACTATTTTACTCCTTTCTTTGTATGTTCAGCACTTAGCATACAGTAAGTACTTAGTGCTTGCTGATTATTTCCATAGCCAGTCTGATCCCCACCCCCACTTAAGGGAGAGAGCCCATCATCCTCACTGCGTTGACAGAGAAGCAGAAAGAAGAGGGTGCTCTCAAGGCCACCCGGAGGAGAACCAGGCGTCGTGCTTGAGATGGGAATGAGACCTCAGCATTCTGACCCGTCCCTCTCCTCCCCTCCTCCTTCAGACGCCAGGGCTGCTCGAATGGCCCCGGCCTCCCCGCAGTGACTGTAAGGCAGCTCGCGATGCCATAACTGCCGTGCAGATCGTGGAGATATATAGATATATATGGATGTGTGTGTGTGTCTATATTTTTACTCTTTATTTTAAGCCTCGCGTCGATGCACAGATCCCAATTCCCTCCCTTCCCCACTCGCTCCGGGCCAGAGTTGGAATGCAAAGCGAAGGAGGAGCATCTCTATTAAACTGAAAAGGTTAAACAGTTCCATCTAGACTGTTGCTGGGAACCCGCCCGCCATCCCCGCCGCGCAGCCAAGGCTGGGATTGATTCGCAGCGGCCGCTGCCGCGCCACCGCGCACCGCCGCCGCCTCCTCGCTCCTCCATCCCGGCCCGCACCCTGCTGTGCAGATGAAATTCAGTGTTGGGGAGGATTGAAATCCAATCTCCTCCATTCTCCAGCGAAGCCCCAGGATCAATCAGCTAATGACTTTCCGTTTCATCTACTCAGAGATTGCCCCCACCCCGTCCCTCCCCAGCTGAACTGGGTTCTGAGGCCAGAAGGGATGGCTGAAGGTGGGGCGGGGGAAGGAAGAGGCTCCGGGATTTGCTGACCGTCTTTTATCTTAGCGATGAGGAAGGAAGATTAGACTGAGGAGTTGTAATGGCTTAGCGATGCAGGAAGCTGGTCCTGGTTGGCAGCAACCTCCTCCCTGTGGCCAGATTAAGTAAGGCCAGGGCCTGTCTGCCAGCCTCCCGCCTGGCCTGCGGTCACTGAGGATGGAGCGCCAGTGGAGTCACGGGCTCTGGGTTCCGTTCCTCCCTCTGTCGCTAATTACCGTGGGACCTTCAGCAAATCATTTCCTCTTTCTGGGTTGCTGTTTCCTTATCTGTAAAATGTAGAGATTGGACTAGATGGTTTCAAAAGTCCCTTTCAGCTGTAAATCTAGGCTCTTTTGAAGGCTACAGGGACTGAGGAGAAGAGGCAGCACTGCCCCTAGGCAGCCATCCCACCGCCTTCTAGCTGGGAGGCTGGAGGCTTCCTGTCCTCAACTCCTAAGGAAAAGTGCTGGGAAATGCTGAAAAGGGAGCGGAGGGTGGCTATTGTGGAAGCCTTTTCTGAGCCGAAGAGAAGGAAGGTCAGGCTGGCTGGTGAACTTTGAGGTGTTAAGGGAGGCCTAGAACTACAGCCCAGGAAAAGGGGCTGGGGCAGGGGGAGCAGCAGCCTGGGCAGGATGCTCTCAGACTCTTATTTCAATTCAACCAGTTTTATTGAGCACTTACAGACCAGCCACCCAGGCCTCTCTCCTTCCATCCCGACTCCACTCATTTCT